ATTTGCCGCTTTTACTATTTCTCCTCCTAACAGACAGTCGATGAGAGAATCCTCGGCGCCGTGCGGTGCTTTTCCGGTGGCAGAGGCGAGCCCCGAGCCCTCCTGGACGCACGGCCGGCGGCTGGCGCGCGGACGCCGCTCCCGAGGTGGGAACACGCGTCGGCTTAATAGCCGCTCCAGACCCCATTATATTCGAACTAATACGCAGCAGGAAGCAGCGCCAGCGGCGGCGGAGGGGCGTCGCGGGAGCTGGATTCCGGTGATGCGGAGATACGCGACAGGAACGCTCGCTCCCGCGCGCCGCCGCGGTTGCCGCTGACGGGCGAACTGTTTCCCATTTCAATTTCTTTTATGGTTTTACGGATTGTACGGGCACGTTTTCTTGAGCCCCGTAATACGCACCCCAGCTCCTTTACTAACATTAGTTGAGTGAAGTATAAATGTTAGCGGCGAGAGGTGTTGCCAAAATATGATTTCTAGAAATGTCGTTCCAGTATAATAGAAACTATTTTACAGATGAAAATGAGCTACAAGTTTTATGTAATAGTCGTGTCGCCCATTCACAAACCAACCCCCCACCCTTGCCTCGCATCTAACGAAATGAGGCTCAAGAAAACATGCGCAGATAGTATCAATATTTCTTAAGATGCTTCTCCATTATGCTGCCAATATTATGATCATAAATTGCGATTTCACTACGTTAAACGTTATCCGAAAATCGATGAGTCCTTCTTAGAACTACAAGACTTACCGTGAATACTTTCCCTTCCTGAAAAATTGTGTTTCATAGAAATACGCCACTTAAGAAATAAGCTCTTCACTTCGACAACCTGCCTTAGGTTCACGTGATCTCCTCTCTCTTTGAACCAACAAATGTTTCGAAGTGTCAGCTTCTTCCATTTCTTCCTGAGTGGAAGACATACCTCTTACTCAGGAGCGGGTTATTTTTTTATTCGATTCTCAAGTTTCGACACTTCGGTAGTTTGACATCGAAAATTTCTTTCGGACTTGTCCAGTCCTTCGAAGCCATTTTAGATTAATAATCAAAGACACTCAATTCAATAGAATTCAAGTTCACTACACAATTTTAATTAAATATCAGAACATCGATTGTACAGTGAGTATATTTTGACAGGTACTGACTTTCAAATCAGGAAAACATCAGAGTCCTCTCTGTCTGTATTATGGATTTTATTATTTTTTATGAAAATCTAGGGTGAACCATTTATTTTTTTTGCGAATTTTATTGCACCTCGAATAAAAAAAACCTGTTCACCGACCTACCTGTACAACAAATCCCGCAAACCGATATTGGATTTTAAATATGTAGCGTTGGAAAATAAATATGTATTGATGCACTGGGATTTCAAAAGCGAGGCCTTCGTCTCCGCCTGCGAGGACGGTCGACGGCCAGGGATTTTCCTGCAGCTCGAGCGCGAGAGAGGGCGGAGGCGGGACGGCTCGCGCCGCCTGCGCCCTCCCGCGCGCTGTGCTTGTGAGGGGGCTCCTTTGGCTTAGCGGAGCGACAGCTAACGAGGGATGAAAACACCTCCTCGGCCCAGGAATTTTTTCCCGCTTGTGGGAAACGGGAAGCAGCCGCAACCCAAGGCACTCTCGAGGTGGTTCATGTGCTGTCACATTGTGTCCAAGAAAAGGCTTAGGCTGTGGATAATGTGATCATCTGATATTGTAATGGAGGAATAGTCTTTCGTAAGAGGAATCCGGTTACTGCGATATTGTTCCAATTCTCCAGAAAATGTAACGATGAGCGCTTGTTCATGAGAGAAGTGTCATATTTGAGAAATGTGGATGTCGATCATCGTACGATGGAAAGTAATATAATAATATAATAATTTTGAAAATATAATAATAATAATAATAATAATAATAATAATAATAATAATAATAATAGTTCCGCAAATTTTGGGTAAGAAGTTGGCCAAACTACCAGGTCATTCAAAAGCCTAGGAAGTACTAGACAGCTTTATTGGGAACAGGCCACCTTTTGTCCAAAGTTTTGTAGAGGCACCGATAGACCCTAGATTTGCTCCTTAGGAAGATGGTTGCAACTCCAAGTAGATTTCATATTCAACCAACTCTTAACACCTTTAATCGTGAATTAGAGGAATAAATAATAATAATAATAATAATAATAATAATAATAATAATAATAACAATAATAACAATAATAATAACAATAATAATAATAATAATAATAATAACAACTTTAATTTTCTTCAATATTATTTTGCACTGGCTTCGGTCTTATTGACGTTTACAACTATACAATAACTTATTCGTGGATTTGTTTTATGTATATAATCATTAACAACTTTGATGATCCTACTCTACGAAACGTGCTGGATTTATTTACAAAAAGCTCGTTAAAACTAGATAGGTAGTATTAGTGGAATATAAATCCGGTAGAGGATTATACAACCGAACAGATCCCAAATCGCTAATAATTCAGGTGCTTAATTTTTGAAGGATATATTGCACTCGTTCCGAACGCAGCAACTACTTCTGCATTTCATCGCACTCTGCCGCGATCGACGCTTTGTCATGCTTCCCTACAGCCTAAATTATGCGGCGGTGTCGGATTTAGGCATCAGAAAAGCCTCCGAGAACGACCTATAAACGTTTTTACGATTTATTATTGCTTTACCAAAACAGAAATTCGAATGTTTATACACATACATACTTGAGATATTGACGTCATTTTATAGAGAATGTAAAGAAAAAAATGCACATTTTTATGGGGTTTTCTGAGTCAAAAGAAGATGATTTGTGCATCGCGATGAATCGTGACAAACAATGGTTACAATGGTAAAGAAATAAAAATGTAAAGGAAGTTGATTCAATGAGTAAACATAATTATCTTTATCACCAATTGGTTGCATCATATTTAATATCAACTGTCCTCTCAACCGTTTCGGCAACAACGAGCCTACACACCAGGAACTACAGCAGGCGGAAAATGCGATTACGCCCGTGTTGACATGTAATGGGAAACCTTTGCCGCCCGCGCGGCGTCGCGAAGGAGGTCCGCGGGCGCCGGCGTGGCGCGGCGCGGCGCGGCGCGCCTCCGCGACGCCCGCCGTGTCTTTGGGCCTACGCGCCCGCGGGGTGGCTGGCGACGCACGTGGGGAGGCGGCGCGCGGCCAGCGCCGCACCGCACCGCACCGGGACGGGACGGGACGGGACGGCTTCACGCTTATTGAGGACGTGGGGCGCGGAAGGGATCTTGCTGCAACATGTGGTCCTTGTTGTTAGGAATTGGGACGTGTCTACTGCTGTGCGTAATTTAAGAGGTGGAGGAATGATAAAGTGATGCTCGCGTCTTAACAATTTTGCTTTTTCCTTGTGAAGTGGATGGTGGAGAGATTCGTACCTCTAATAATGTATCTCGCTTATTAATATTACATAATTTCCAAAGTATTATGTCAATAATTTGTTTTCAACGAAAATTTAAGTTTTAAGAAAATTATTGCAATTCAAACAAGTGGAGATTTTTCAGAAGTCATTGGTAAAATAGAAGTAACGATCAGTGCCAGAGGAATGTCAAAACATTTCTTGATTTTTCTGGATGTTTACATACGTTTCATTGTTTTCACGATTCTTTCCCTCCATATGTCACATATTACATTTACTTATTTGTAACGATAAATAAAAAACAATGTCCACTGAGAGTTGAAAAATGTCGGTTAGAAGTAAAAATGGAAGCAATGCTCTATAACACACCTTTGATGTTCATTCCTTTGACATAAACTATGGAGTATTTAAGAGTATCATAATTGCTTACTCTCATTATAATATTCTTGTACATAACATTATTAAAATGGTTCACCGTGGTTGCAACCTGGTGAACTTCACCCTTGTTCATAATTATGAAAATGACTTCGGGGAGAGGAAAAATGCTCTGGACCGACAGTCTTCGGTGCACGATACGCTTGAGATCACGCAGCCACGGTAATCCTGTGAAAACCCCCTCCGAAGTCATTGCGTCGGACGTTACTTTGGAAACACGTCGATATGTATTATTATTATGATTATTATTATTATTATTATGGCTCGCAGGAAGTCAGTCGGGGGCAAAAATCATTGCGTTCTTCCGGTGTTACACATGACGGGTTCGACAAAACAGAGTAGCAGCGACAGAGCGTAACGAGAAGCGAGGAAACAACTGAACAACACAACGCGTCATGAATTGTATATAGCCCCGGCCACAAAATGAACTCTAGGGGGAGCACGTGGAAAATTTTACACGCCAAGGCGAGAGAAAATGGAACCATTGGCCCAGCATGGGCTCTTTTAATTAATATATTAAACCAATTTAGAAGTTATATGCTAATTACTCTCGTGCGCTCCGTAGCGTTGGAACTGCAGGATAAAAAAAGAACTTGACGCGTAGCTCAAGAAAAGCGCACATAAGTAGTGCAAGTTACCGAGTTAACGATTGGGGTCGTTAACATTTGTTTCGCAGGCTATCTAATTTATGGATATAGACTTCGGTTAGTTAAACCTAGAGCGGCGTGTTTGTGTTTCAAATTACAGGACGCTGATTTCCATTTGTAAACTTCTGTTGCAAAAAATATTGTACGTTTTCAACGTAACACATAATAAGCACGGTCTGTTGCCCTCATTGTCACACAGGCATGAATACATTCACAACGCGTTTCCAATTTCGCGGAACCCCTGCCAAGTGAATTAAACATTTAGCTATAATTCGGACGTCACGCACTCGCAATGTCGCTTGTTTTATCAACAATTCCAACGATCAACATTTATCAGAGATGTCACGATCGAATGCCTGATTGTTTGACAACAATCAAAAGCGAAGGCGCGAGCACATGTGGGTCGTGTGAGGCGCGTGCAGCCGGGACGTCCGCGCGGGCAACAGCACAAACGCCCCGCGTGGACTCGCAATCGGTCCGGCAGCAACCTGCCAGAGCGCACACGCGTCGCATAGGCGCAAGTTTATTTACGTAAATATCGCTCACCTGTGAGCAGCCGACGTCGCCAAGCGGCCCGCCTTTCGTGTTGGCCGCAACCCAGGCTTCGGCGAACGTCTCCATCGCGCTTTGAAAGTCCATCTCTCCTCACGGGTGGCACCACCGACAATGTCTAACAACACAATTCGTCCTTCGTGGGGGTCTCTTCTACACAGACAACATCACAAGAATCGCAGTTGCAGCAGCACGCCGACGACGGTGCGGTCGCGACAACACAGGGGTCGACCGCAGCGCCAAGCCGCCGCTGAGCCGGGGCTGCGGCGAGTGCATGAACTAGCAGCAGCGACGCCCAGCGCGTCCGCCCTCTTCCAGCGCTCGGCTCCAACTGAAGTGGCGGCGCCGCTCTGTATACGTTTATAGCGGGAGGCGGGCCGCTCGCTCGGGGGAGCAGGGCTGGCGCGTCGCGGGGCCGGGCCGCAACGGGCCGCGCCGGGAAGTGCGGAAAAATCGAAGCTTGCTGTCAGGCTCGCACGCTTTTCGTGGAAAATGCCCCGCGCGAAGCACAGGTGCGTGGGGTTCGGGTGGATGGATGGGTGGCTGACTGGGCGCTCGCAGCTGCGCTCGCCGGAGCTACGGGCGGCGGCGGCTGCGGGTTGGCAGGCGGGGTAGGCGGCTGAGCGCACGTTGCGCGCTGTGATAAGCGACGACCAACCGCAACGCGCCGCCTGGGCCTGAAGGCGGCGTCTGGAGCGGAGCGCCGCGCGGATCTGGCGCGCCGCCGGCGTTAGCGGCTGGAAAAATGCCGCGTGGAGTTAGCGCGCACGCTCCGTGGCGAGCGAGCG